TCACTCATTTTTTAGTGATAGTTTCCATCATATCACCAAAACAATGCATGTATTTTTTGTGCAGAAAATGGGGCGAAAAAATAATGCATTATGCACAATGCATGCATTGTAACTATCTCAACCAAACAATACCAAAACCAAACGAACCTTCATTAGAAAATGACTTTAATTTTCAATTATAGAAAAGGCAATTTACATATACAAACACTCTAATCTACATTACACCAATCACATCAATACATGTGTATTATAATACATATATTTATCACAATACATCAACTTAACAGCTTGAGTTACCCGCTACAATTTCATATCATTTTAATCATCATATAGCAGGTGATTAGAGACATACAACCTGATCAATATCTTAATGATTTTTTTTTTTTTTCATAAGTGTATATATCGATGTCAGAATCCACAAACCTAAAAAAATCTATGTATTTAGGAACAATCCCTTTAATACCTCGCTCACACATAGAACACAATCCTTTTATGAACATCATCAGCATAAATGTTTAAAGAGTGGATATGTGATCGCTCTAGCTAAACTCATGCACACGTTAATTAACATGGAAAACAAGCTGATAACCATCACCCTTTCTTTGTATGAAGAAGAACACTAGGTAGGTAGTAATAGCTAATTACTTTTCTTTCTGTTTCATTTTTTGGACATAAAGTAGTACATAACTATATAGGTAGCAACCATTTCGTCCATAGGAATTTGAATAACAATTAGTTAACTTTAGCTACAGCAGACAAATTAAGCCAATTCACTCTAATTCTTGTTGTTTCAAAGCACTCCGATTCATCGATCTATGAAACAACCATACCAAAAAGGAGGAAAAGGTAAGTGATGACGAAAAGAAACATACTCATTAAGCACCCATTACCTCTACAAGGCTAGCATTTCTCATGCATGCATCAATGGCGGCTGCGGTTGTGGCTGTGGCGATGGAGGTTGATCTCTAGCTACACGTACCTTAAGCTGAAGAAGTCAAAGGGCAACTCTCCTTTGGCGGGTCATCCATCAGGGAAGAAAATGAGTGACCCAGTAAATACTGCAACCGACCTGCCAAAAGGAGAGTATCCCCACGACTAGTTCACTTACTAATAAATTGTGATATGTCTCTGAAGGCAGTGTGGTAAAGAGAGGGCACAGAGGATTTTATACATTTAAGGCCCGGGTGCCTACAGCTAGCACAAAAGAATAAACCAAGGACAAGGGATTATTGGGAAGCATATGCTGTTGGATAATGGATATCCAATCTGATCTTTTGGGGTAAGAGACTCACAAGAGTTATCCTTGGCCTGTTTTCCACGCCATTCCTTGAAAATTTTCATATCTCCAAAATAAAATTATAAGGAGAGAGAGAGAGCCCTATTGTGATATATATTGCTCAACAGATGTTTTCAGAGAGATGAGGAAAAGAGGAGAAAAAAAGCCAATGTGGATATATGCAGGAGGAAGCAATAGATGCTCTTTCTTTAATTACCTTTCTCATATCTTTCCACTTTCTTCTCTCTACTCAATCTTAGTTAGGCTGGCAGCGCTGATGAAGGAAGGGCATACCGCATATCACATGTCATATTGCCTCTAATTCTTTTTTTTTTTAATGACAAATGGTAATCAATATATTGATCCGATGAAGATAGTTACATCCTAAAATTTAATCAGGCCATAAAATAATAATAAAACAATTCGTAGTCGGGTATAAGTGAATGATTTTTTTAGCCACCAAGTGGGCTATTACTACTCCTACCTACAAATAGCACAGAGAACTCATTCTGAAGTTCCAAGCATACCATAATTTCCTTTAGAAGCGCACCTATCCGGCTATCCCTGGTATCTGATTGGTTAACCTTATCAATAATCAGTTTAGCATCTCCTTCAAAGCGTACCTCCGTAAACCCGGAAGCCCTGCACCAGAGAATAGCCTCCCGGAAAGAGAGAGAACCTCAACAACCAATGGATCATCAATCCCAATGAACTGAACCCCTTTAGCAAGGAGAATCTCCCTAGCCTGATTCTTGACAATCATCCCACCAGCCGAATGAGATGCAACTTTGGTTACCCCATCCCGCATACATATTATAGGGCAATCTGGGGCCATCACCATTGGTTGAATAGGAGATTGATGACCTCTATCTACCGGCAAGCTGGCCCATTCCTGGTACTGCTGGTGGAATTGTCACATAAAAGCTGGAATACTAAACTGCTTGCCCTCAAAGACAACCCAGTTTCGTGAACGCCAGATCCGTCAAAGGACAACAGTGACAACCATAATCAACTGGGGTTGATGGATGAGATTCATCAAATTTTTTAGGAACAGTGGGAAAGTATGGTAAGGCAGTCCATTTTCTGTCTTTTTTTTTATAGAGTACATTTACGGTTTAGATACGACCGACCATCATTAGATTCGTGATCTCAAAATATTAATGTAATAAAAAAATTAATTTTGACATTAAATTAGAATTACAACAGTATCAGACCTACATTATAGAATTAGGTCACAGCAACAGGATAGAAGCAAATATATGAACCCCTTAAAAGTGAGAGGACAAGATGCTCATTAATTTCATAAGCATGATACCAAACTAATATGTCTTAAGGGTTACTATTGATCACTTGGCCAGCTTCCCAACAACTATATGAGAACTTATTTCAAGCCTTCTTAAGCACTTGCAAGCCTTTCAGTCAGCATAGTAACTCCCATGTACCTGCACACCAAAGACCAAACAAATGACCCCAAACACTTAACACAATCCACAAACAAATACAAAGTAGATCCATTTCTAATACACTACACAACTTTCTCTTCTCACCTTCCAAGCATCATGACAGACTGACAGTGGCTTTAGTGTTAGTCCCAGGGGAGGCATCATCAACACAAATATATATACAGGAGTGTAAATAAGATTTATGCCATCTCAGCCACCCACCGGAAAGCAACCCTGATTAGCTGAGGGGCATTTTTGACAAACCATAAACTAAAATGATATATTAATTCAATACGAGGAACTAATACCCAATATGTTGTTTTTTATGGGCCGATTAAAAGCCTGTTAAACAATAATCGGGGAACTAAAAGAGTATATATTTGACCTTTCTTAAAAAAAGTACCTAATTTGCTAATTTCTCAAGCCGAGACTAGCAATATGAATATTATATAATATGTGCCCAACGAATATTATATAATATGAGTATAATCTTATAACTCTTTATATTAAAAGACTCCAACCTCAAGGTTTGGTTCGAATTTCTCAAGTAACACCTTATAATGAATTAAAAATATATTACTCGTATCTATAAAAAAAATTATTTACCATTTTGGGTTGTGCAATTATATTGTCTCTTTGTTTAAGCAAAAATTGAAAACTACACCGGAGGTTGTATTGAAAATCAGTAATAGGGTAATTTGTACTAAAAGTGTTGGCTACTTTATACTATTAAAACCGCTTACAAGTTGGGCTCTGGTACCTGATATTTCCGATCTAACTAGACAGTAGATACGGTTTTAAAACATTGTGTTTAAGGGAAGAGGGCTCAATCATGCACTTGCTAATTTGGCCAGGAGGAGGCTTTATATAATACAACATCGATGTTTTCCTTACTATATTCTTATCCTGAATCTAGGTATCCCTAATCTGAATATTCTACTCCTACCATCCAACTTGATTGCGCTTATACTATATAAGTCCACATTCAAGAAATTATCAACTCACGCCTTCTCACACTATTCCTTGCCATCTTCTCCTCCTTAAATAGAAGCGTTCAAATGGTTATTATAGTAATTATTGAACCAAATTGATCTATTGTTTTCTTAATTATGGAATACAATATCATAACCAAATCTGTCAAACTTATACAATAACAAAATAAACCAAAATTCAAACTCAACCCAGAACCAAAATTATTAAGAGTGCATATGAGTTCATTTGGGTCCAATATGAGTCAAGACCATTGGATACAGTTACCCAATAAAGGGTTGTTTGCTTGATGGGTTTGGTGAAGGATTTGGTGATGGATTTGGATCCATGATGGACTTTGTACAAAATCCATTGTTGGCTTCAAGTATTTAGCGGTAACAAATCTGTGGGGCCCATGAACTTTGAGGGCCCCATGGACTTGAAAACACATCTCTTTAGGTGGAAATTGATCATGAATTTTGAAGTCCATCATTTTTTACCAACCTACCCTACATATTTGCTTTCTCTTCTTATATCATTGAGGGAAATAAAGGTATTACTTCATACATACAAATTTAATTAACAAAATACATCATGAAATCCATCAAACAAACATTGGTGTTTATTAAATCCATAATGAACCCAAAACCCTCATATATCCATGGGTTTTCAAAATCCAAGTTATACGAAAATCTTCATTTTTCAAATCCACGAAGCAAGCATCCCTGATTGGCTTCCTACATCGCCCGATAACATGCTGGCTTAGGTATCCCTCGACTTGAAAGTAGACTGACCTTAGTCCCCTCTCTCTGCCTAACAGTGGACTACGTTCAAAAAGGGCGGAGCAGGCGACAGAGACAGAGAAGATTGAAGGGGAGGATGTACAATGTGGTTGGTTTGTTATTAAGGCTTTAGAACGAAAAAGGCGTATATGTGCTCTCTTTTATAAAATTAGACCGATTATGACAAATTCAGGATGGCATTTAGTGATACAATATGAAATACGCACACCTGGCCAACTGGCTGGGCAAATTGCTAGTTAAAAATAGATCCATCAATAACCCTCAAGGAATCAACACCAAGAACCTTGTAATCACAACCAACCACAACACCAACCTGTCACCCTTTATGGTAATGCCATATGGTCATCACAGTGTCCTTGCAGAATTGCTCCAACGACACCGACGAGGTGCGCTTGCTGTCATGTTGAGCAGCTGTGGGACTGACAAAGTGTTGTACCTGAACTTGGAGAATGGTTTAGAACCAATCACTCTCTCTATGGTCGACATCCCCTGAACGCACCTCGCCAGGTCCTATGGGAGCTTGAAGTAGTTGAATGTCACAAACGGGTTTACATTAGGGTTCTTGGATGTCAGTTCCAAATGCCCTGTTGAGATCGAACCCATGATATTTTCGAGGATGAACCCTCCCCTGAAGGCTGCTCTGTCCAGCTTGCTCATGTTGTAAATTGCCCTCTCCAGGGCCTCCGGCGTCCTCTGATTTGGTGGCAGCGTCGACAGCTGACCGATCTGCTCGATTTGGGGATAAATGTCAAAACTTGATGAAGATTTATACTAAATTGGGTCGACTGTAGAGGGTTCTTACCTTTGGAGTGTACCCGAATTTGTGTAACTAAGCTCTTTGGTTGTATTTGTGCGACTAAAACTCTAATAAGATTTCTCAGCTATAATAAGATTTCTCTGTGGACGAGTCTCAGCTATTATAACTGGGGCAACCACATAAATCGTGTGTGTTTGTGTTCAATTTCAGTTTCGTATAGTTTGACATGTTATTAGAGTCTGGTTTCGTATTGAGAGTTGCTTTCAAATGGATCTCACTACCAGAGTATTTTGGATAGTCTGTTGTATCGGGTGCGTACCCGGCCAGATATCGCCAATGCGGTTCAAGTGGTAAGTCAATTCATGACGGCTCAACGATTGACTCGCTCTAACAATCACAATAAAATCTCACCTAAGGTTCAAGTATTAACCTTAGATGGGTGCAATATAGGGCAAGTATGTTTAAATATCGACCCGGGCCGATCCATTTACCGCTACTTCGACTATTTGAAACATTATCTAGCGGATCAGTTTTGGTGAAAACAAAGGTTGAAAACTAAATTAATTTGCAAAGGTAAAATGGATTTGACTCTATTTGAGAAAACTTCATACGGGTGTTGCTCCCCCTAGCTAACAATTATGACTTGAAGAATCGAACGACCGTGTGTGGTTAGGGGGTCATAAACCACTGGGAAGTCTAACAAGCAACCAAAGTTACCCTCTTAGACTCTAGGTTGAGGAATGGGATACGATCCAAGCCACAGATGTGACCCTCTTAACCTATCGACTAAGGAATGGTTCGACTTCACCCTCGAATTGGAGTTCGGACGACCACCCACAACCAAACTCTAAGTGTTTAATACAAATTAGGAGGTTTGACCTTTAACTAACCTAGACTAGGGGCATAGAATGCCCAAGGAACCCCATCTCTAATAGAGCCTCTTAAGTTAAGGAGGGTTCTCTCTAACCTGCTCCTAGGGGCGGACCAAGGGGACTTTGGGGTGTCCCGGGGCACCCCTAAATTTCGGAAATACGATTGTTCAACCCCTATGGTAATTTATGTATGGACAAAAAAAATATATAAATTGATAGTAGGGGACACCCTTATAATTTGAAAAAATGATTATCCTACTCTCATTTTTAGTTTGCGTATGAGAATATAAGTGGTAGTTTGGATAATTCAAACCTAGAACACTATTATTATTATTATTAGTAAATATAATTTCCATTAAATTACAACTCATTTGTTGTTTGATTTTAAACACTGTCTAATAGTAAAATGTCATTCCCTAATTATTTTTAAAACCTAACAATATTTAAACTAATCTCAAGCTACCCTTAATTTGTATTATTTTTATGGTTGTACGACAAGTGTTGAAAGAGTCTTTTTCAGCTTTGGGTTACATCAAGAACAAGATTAGAAATCGAATATGCCATCATTTCGTGAATGATTGTCTAGTAGGATATGCAGAGAAATTTTGTTAGCATTGTAGACACAAAGTGTATTCTACAATTATTTATGAATATGAAAACACATCGTGGACTTTTTTAACTTGTACGAGTCAGATATTTTCTTATTTAAAAATTATTTAATTTATGTTTTAAGAGGACACTCCTATGTAAAATTTTTGGATCTGTCACTGCTTCCTCCCACGATGATGTAGTCGTAGTACGATATCTTCAGCGTCGCTGACGAAAGTGTAATTCTGACCTGTTTAATCGCACGAATGATACCAAGATAAAACTCGTGGCGATTTCTTTAAATTTGTCTTATTTTGACCAATATAAATTGAAGTCTATTTTTAACGAAATTAGTGCACTTTATTTTTACAAAAGATAATCATATATTGATACTCAAAAATAGATCATTACATCGCCTGCCTCAACCAGGCTACAAAATCAAAAGAACGACTCGCTATCGGGTACAAAGAAAGGGCATTTCTAGCCACCAAATGGGCTACCCTGTTACTACGCCGACCAACGAACTGAACACTAAACCCCGCATTCTCAGCCAAGTAGAGCAACACCTCACGGAAAATAGCACCCGCCGTACTATCACTCCCCTAAGCCAAAAGAAGTCTATCCACCACCACCTTCGCATCCCGCTCAAAACGGACCAAGAGACAGCCTCTGCTCCGACACCAGAGGATTGCTTCCCTGAGGGCCAACACCTCTACCAGCATTGGTTCATCAACCTCTGGAAAACACACCCCCCTCGCACCGACCACCGCCCCGTCCGGGCTTAGCAGCACCACCCCTCCGGCCGAATGGGACCCTAACCTCACGGCCCCATCCCACCTACAAATGAGTTGGTTCTGGCTACCAGGTGGCACATCGGAGGTGACCCGCACAGGGGCATACCCCACACCCTCCTTTGGAAGCGAATCCCACTCCCGCACTAGCTGGTGATATTGCCGAAGAAGGGCTTGTAGCCCAAACTGCTTGCCCTCAAAGACTACCCAGTTTCGAGACTTCCAGATCCTTCAGAGTACCGCTACAATTGCCATGACCTGGGAAGGTTCCTAACGATGGCCAAAAGGTTCTTGAGGAAGAGAGGAAAAGTGAGCCGAGGCAACCCCTGGCCCACATGCTCTAACCCCGTTAAATCCCACAAAACACGAGCCACACAGCAGTCGAAAAATAGATGTTCCATAGTTTCTACGCAGCCCAGCACACCGGGCAACGAGGATGAACATCCACCTTCCTGCCAATGAGAGCTTCCGTTGTGGGGAGGAACCTATGCAGAACTTGTCATAGAAACACCTTCAACTTAGGCGAAATAGCCAAGTTCCACACCCGCTTCCAGCTTCCCCGGTCCATCCAACTCACCAACGGGCGCCAACCTCCAGATTGCTGATCCAGGCGAACAGCCAGGTGATACGCAGATTTCACAGTGAAAATCTCATCACCTGTCTCATGCCAGACCTGTTTATCATCGATCTCCCTTCTGGCCAGAGGAATCCCACGGATAGCACGACAGACCTTAGGAGGGAACCATTCCCCAAGCTTATCCAGTAACCAACACCCCTCAGTCGGACAGATGAACTCAGCCACCTTCAAACCCATTCCCTCAGCAAGAATCCGATGATTAAACCTGGGGGGATCAGGGTGGAGCGAGGGAATCCAATTATCTGTCAACGCCGCCACCCCTCGCCCATCCCCAATCTACCATCTAATACCCGGAACCAACGATTGCCTCCCATACAGGATACTCTGCCACCCCCATGAAGGTCGAGAGCGAGGAGTCGCAGAAAGAAAGTCACCACGAGGAAAATACTTCCCTTTATACACCTGTGCTAGGAGGGACTAGGGATCAGTCAGAATCCGCCAGCCAACCTTAGCAAGAAGCGCTTGATTGAAGAACTCAAATCTACGAAACCCCATTCCACCCTCATGCTTACTCTGACACATCCTACGCCAAGACATCCAACGGATGCGAGAGTGACCATCGTCCACACCCCATCAAAAACGCGCTACCAGCCTATCCAAAGTTCGACAAAGAGAGAGGGGCAGCTTAAAGCAGGACATCACATGCAGCGGTAGTGCAGAAGCCACAGACTTGATCAGTGTTTCTCTAGCTGCCACAGACAATGAGCGTTGAGCCCATCCCTGAAGCGGGGCTATTAACCGTTTCTCTAGCTGCCACAAAATGAAATTAGTGCACTGAAATGAGATTTTGGATGAATTTTGTTAAACTATATGCAGGCATATGAGCGAATGTATGCACAATTTTTGGTAAGCATTTAACCAAATTTATTAAATAATAGTTAAGCTAAATATCATAAATTTATGGGCAACAAAACGCTATAAATCCTGGTTTCCTTGATTTGGATCTAGTTGTCACAACCTATTGCACAACAAAAATAAAAATCTAACTTAACACGTATTTTAGTCCCTGCTTTTTTTATAGCTGTAACACAGACAACCAAAAACCAACAATAATACTAATCAGGGCCTAAAATTTGTAGCATTGATGTCTTTTCGAAAATTTTGCATCTCATATATAATTCTGTGATGAAATTTGTAAGATATATAGACAGGTACCTTGCTGAGAGGCAGAGAGAGTGCATCCAAGGAAGAAGGAGAGAGTATGAGTTGGCCGGTCAGTTGGAATTGGAGCGTCGAAAAAGAAATGCAATTCATAAATAAAATATAAAAAAGAGTAAGCAGCAAAGATGGAACTGCTCCGCCGGCGCCGGCCAACATTACCGCTGCTGCAACCCATATTGCTATATGACGATACTAGAGATAGGTTCAGGCCCTTAAGGTCAAATCCTTAAGGAGTTCCTTAAGTGATTTTCGGCCATTGGATTGATTGATATTAGTTAATGGTTGTTGAGCCGTTTTTAGGTAGGTAAGGGTAGTTTGGCATTAGAAATTTTTAATTAATTAATGAGTGTATTTTAATTAATTACCTGCCGTTTATTCACGTAGCATGCGGTAGGGTTTTATTAGTTTCACTTTAGGTTTTTTTTTTTTACGTAAGAAGGTGAGTTGCTGAACAACGGCCGGCGACACGTCTCTTTTTTCGGCGGCGACCAGGCAGTCACCAGGCGGCGACCCGGCGACGACCAGACAAAACTATCGACGGCGGGCTTCATCTCCCCGTAGCTTCATCGGCGACCAGGCAGTCACCAGGCGGCGACCAGACAAAACTATTGACGGCGACCAGACTTTGAGGAGTTTATCCCGACAAACTATCGACGGCGGTCTTCATCTCCCCGTAGCTTCACGGCAGGTATGTGGTTTTTTATGTTTGGGTATTAACGTGTTATTAAAATTATTATTATCTAATGTTAACGTGTTTTTAACATTAATATTATCTAACGTGTTATTAACATTATTATTAACATTATTATTATCTAATGTTAACATATTAACGTGTTATTAACATTATTATTATCTAATGTTAACCGATAATAAGTACAGTTATTATCGTTATCGTTAATCAGAATGGTTTA